ACTTCCAAGAACCCCGCGTCTTCGTTTGGCACTGCAAACACACTCTTCGCTTGGGCTCCCTTGCCATCCACGCTGAGGCGCCGAAGATGTGGTGACCTCTAAGCTGCAGCTTTCTTGTCCTAATAGCTTTTAGCAGTTTAGTCTTAGGTCTCTCAGCCCAAATGCACATACATGTGTTGCTCAGTTCAGAGCAAGCTTCATGTCAACTGTCTCGTCACTCTTGCCTGTTTCACCAGCCCTTGATCAAATTGGAACATTGCGGCACCTGCTCAAGGCCTATAAGTCATCTGCATCAGGTATATTTTGCCAGATATTGTTTCACTTTCTCGAACAGTTGCATGGTCCGCAAAACATGCGGAACCTTACGAATGTTTACTTCGGGAAGAGAACCTTTACTTATTCTTTTCCGGGGTCGGCGGCAGGGGCGGCAGCCCTTAAATTCGGCTCCGCCGGCTCCCCACGAGTGGCTTGCCCTACGAGCGTCCCAGAGCGACTAGAGCTCTAAGGTGAGGCGCGCCCCAAACCGCCGACTCTCCGACGCCGGGCCCCGAAAAACACCAAAAATCCTTCAGGAGGGTGGGGGAGAGCTTTTTGGCCGGAATCCGGGTCGCTCATAAGCGTCTCCAAGAGCATAATCCCGCCCCCCCACGATTTTGAGGGTACCTAAAATCGGAAAAAAGCGCCGTTTTGACACATTTTTCGGACGATCTTTCGCTTTTCGAAAGTCACAAAATGCTGTAAATTACAGCATTTTTGCGTTTTAACGTCTTTCGCGGGAGCCATGCAAAAACGCAGAAAATGCTGTAAATACCAATACTTTTTGGACCCAAGATGCACAAAACACCGCAAATACCAGTGTTTTTGAAAGCCAAGCAAAAAAACACTGTAAATTACAGCATTTTTGGCGGGTTGATCGCAAAAACTGCTGGTATTTACATGGTTTTTGCAATTTCAAGAAAACGTGGAAGGCACGAAACACTGTAAATAGCGGTGTTTTGGCCACTTTTGGACGCCGAAACGCTGGTATTTACGCAGTTTTTTGCCCGTGGCGGCGCCAAACCCCTGTAAATTACAGCATTTTCTTCCCTTTCTGAACCGATTTTTTGCATTGATGAACGCAAAAAACGCTGGTATTTACGCGCTTTTCAAAAAATCGAAGATCGTGACGTGAACGAAACCCTGCAAATAACAGTGTTTTAGCCACTTTCGGGGACTAAAACTGTGGTATTTACGCGGGTTCTTGCCATCTGACAGCGCAAAATGTTGTAAATTACAGCACTCTGTGCCCTGTTTATGTTCAATTTTTAACCTGCGATGCTTTCACCTGTTCTTTGCATTCTTCCACAAGAAACAATGTTGCAGATTGAAACTGGACGACAGCGTGACCCGAAAGAAAGCTGGATGGAGGAGTCGCACAGAAGCTTTTACACATACAGGGGCTTTTACGCAGAGAAGTCTTTACACAAAGGAGCTTTTTACACACAGAAGGTTTTACACAGCGAAGTCTTTACTCTAAGGAGCTTTTGCGCACAAACATCTAGGAGCCTTTACACACAGAAGCTGTTACACAAAGAAGTCTTTACACAGAAGGCTTTTTACACACAGACGCGTTTGCACACAGAAGCTTTTACACAGAGAAGCCTTCACACAAAGGAGCTTTTACACACAAAAGCATTTACACACAGCAAGCTTTTACACACACAGGGGCTTTTACACAGAGAAGTCCTTACACAAAAGAGCTTTTTACACACAGAAGGTTTTACACAGAGAAGTCTTTACTCTAAGGAGCTTTTGCACACAAACGTCTTTTTATTGCCAAGTTGCAGGAATCGCTCTTGCCTCTTCCAGTCGTGTGATCTGGAGAAAGAATCTATGGTAAATCAGCATACGGCCGGTTCCACGCATCAGCGGAACGGCCACACTCCGGCAGGCTATGGGCAAAACGTGCGAAAACCATAAGGGTCTCATGTGACACCCATGGCCGAGCCCCTCTAATTGTTCCGTAAGGGAACTGTACACCGGACCAACTACATTTTCTGGCCAAAACGTCTAGGAGCTTTTTCACACAGACCTTTTTACACGAAAAAGGCCTGACAGAGAGAGTTTTTACACACAGACGCGTTTGCACATAGAAGCTTTTACACAGAGAAGCCTTTACACAGAGGAGCTTTTACACACAAAAGCATTTGCACACAGCAAGCTTTTACACACACAGGGGCTTTTACACAGAGAAGCCTTTACACAAAGGAGCTTTTTACACACAGAAAGTTTTACACAGAGAAGTCTTTACTCTAAGGAGCTTTTGCACACAAACGTCTAGGAGCTTTTTCACACAGAACTTTTTACACGAAGAAGGCCTGACAGAGAGAGTTTTTACACACAGACGCGTTTGCACACAGAAGCTTTTACACAGAGAAGCCTTCACCCAGAGGAGCTTTTACACACAAAAGCATTTACACACAGCAAGCTTTTACACACACAGGGGCTTTTACACAGAGAAGTCCTTACACAAAGGAGCTTATTACACACAGAAGGTTTTACACAGAGAAGTCTTTACTCCAAGGAGCTTTTGCACACAAACGTCTCGGAGCTTTTTCACACAGAGCTTTTTACACGAAGAAGGCCTGACAGAGAGAGTTTTTACACACAGACGCGTTTGCACACAGAAGCTTTTACACAGAGAAGCCTTTACACAGAGGAGCTTTTACACACAAAAGCATTTACACACACAGGGGCTTTTACACAGAGAAGTCTTTACACAAAGGAGCTTTTTACACACAGAAGGTTTTACACATAGAAGTCTTTACCCTAAGGAGCTTTTGCACACAAACGTCTAGGAGCCTTTACACACAGAAGCTGTTACACAAAGAAGTCTCTACACAGATATATAGCTTTCACACACAGACGCGTTTACACACAGAAGCTTTTACACAGAAGCCTTTACACTTTACACAGAAAGTTTTTACACACGGAAGCTTTTACACACAGTGAAATCTTTACACAGACGTTTCACACAGAGAAGCTTTCACACACAGAAGCTTTTACACAAAGAAGTCTTTACACAAAGTGGTTTTTACACACAGAAACTTTTACACACAAAAGCTTTAGACAGAGAAGTCTTTGCACAGAGGCGCCTTTACACGAAGTAACAAGTTGAAATTGGCAGCAGTTCTTCGGGAAAAACCCTTGGCAGGAGCTTTCGGGAACTCACTTGCTCCCCAAAAAAGCCGTCTATTTCCAACAAAGTTCCTATTCGATGAACTTTTTTCAAAAAACATAAGGACTATATTTCTGAAGCAGGTCCCCATCCAAAAGCTTTCAAGCCCACACTGCGATGAAATGGAGGGTCGAGAAATCCGGCGGAGCCGACGAGGGGCGTCAGCCCTTAAATCCGGCGATGCGCCGTGTCTGAGACCGCTAAGCATAGCTTTAGCTATAGGGGGCGCGCCCCTGCCGCCGACCCTCCCCTAAAATCCTTCAGCCTGCTGGGGTTTTCACGTTTTTCGGGGTTCGGGGTGAGATTTTAGAGCTTGGGTCTCCAGATGGGTCAACATCGGCCAACATAGGCCTCAAGATGGGCCAACATAGCCTCAAGATGGGCCAAATTGGGCCAACATAGCTCCCAAGATCGGCCAACATAGCCCCCAAGATGGGCCAATATAGCCCCAAGATGGGCCAACGTAGCCCCAAGATGGGCCAACATAGCCCTCAAGATGGGCCAACATAGGCCAACATAGCCTCAAGATGGACCAACATAGCCCCAAGATGGGCCAACATAGCCCCAAGATAAGGCGCCGACCCTTAGCATGTCATGTCCGCAAGTTCAGATGACATCCCCCTCTCTCTTTCCCTCCCCCGACTCCTACGACAACGACGACAAAAAGGACAACGACGACGACAACGACAACACGAGCAAGAACAAGAACGAGAATTCCACTCCTCCCTTTCGCTGTCCGCCATCGCTCTGCTTGCCGCTTCGGCAACTCTCACGCCACAATGCCAGCTCTGCAGCAAGATGCAGCTCGCAGCATGCCATGTCCGCAAGTTCAGATGAAATCCCCCTCTCTCTTTCCCTCCCCCGATCCCTGCCGGCATCGCCGGTGTGCGAAGCTCTACAATATATATCCGTAAGTGCATCGTAGCCTAGACGTGCACAGGTTGAGTATGTTGATATGTCGAACCTAAAGCAGAAGAATGCTACAACTTGCTGGCAATTACGAGGCTCGTGGGGTGAAGGACTAGGGGGGTGGGGGGGGTATGGTACAGACATGTACAGACCGTCGTTAGATCGTATACGGGTAGTTCATAAGTACGATATAGAAGCATGTGCGTAGTAAGTCCCTAGTATGCAGGAAAGATATGTTAAACACATGTAGTGTTGTGAGAGTGCACAGGTAGTAAGTAGGAAGTAGATACAAAGCACATGTATATATTATGACTACAGGTAGCACATAGGTACTTTGAGGGAGTATGTGTGCTACGTAGGTCGTCTAAAAGGTAGCATATACCTACTAAATGCGAGGCTAGTAGTCAGAAATGCTGCAAAGACCTAGCAAATACGAAGCTGGACCTCAGAAATGCTGCCAGTAGCTTGCAAATAGAAGGGAAGGGGGTGCTACCTGGGGACCCATACCATCGGGGGGGTAGGAACACGGAACACGAGACCATATATATATTATATATACATTCTGTATGTATATGTATACTGTTTAATTATACATACTATCTATCTATCTATCTGTCTGTCTGTCTGTCTGTCTGTCTGTCTGTCTATCTATCTATCTATCTATCTATCTCTCTGTCTATCTATCTATCCATCTATCTATCTATCTATCCATCCGTCCATCTATCTGTCTACATATATGTACAATATATCAAAAGGGAAGCCCAATAATCAGCAAGAGTAGTTTCGCCATGTTACGCTTAGAACTGCTCAAATTGACAGAATCTTCTTATATGGCCAGTTTGTCTCCCTCGACCACTTCCCAGCATTGGCAGTCCAGAACAGGTCTCGGAACTGTTCTGGCGAGCTGCTCCTGACAAAACGTGGCACCAACAGCTGCAAGCTCACTGGCATGCTTCACGGCCGATTTGGTACCTTCACATCAGCCACCTTCTTCTGGAAAAGTTCATCATATCTATCCACCTGCGATGCACGGCACGGGATATAAATGGACGTGCACAAGTCACTGAGGTCACCCTTTGTTTGCACTGGCTCTCGCGAGACTTTTGAGAATGCAAACTATTGACACGTCGTCCTGGTTCGCTTGCTCCCAACATCTGAGTAGTCAATCTTCAAGTTCCAGCCTTTTGAAACAGATACAATTGTTTGCCATGTTTAGTGCCATTGTTATTGCCATTCACATCCTCACGATCAACATAATTCCCTCCTGCAAACAGTTTTCCGTATACCTGTTTTATCAGTGATTCGGGCCGTGCTACCTGATACATCGTAATACATCCACACACTTCCTCCGTTTTGCATGTTTTCGACTTGCCCTTTTGAGCCTGATACCGGAATGCATTATCTGCACAGTGCAATGAGCCAACCGATCCGAATGTTCACCGTGTGTCATACCTGTAGTCTCACTATCTTTCAATAAACCGATCCGAATGTTCACCGGATGTCATACCTGCAGCCCCACTATCTTTCAATAAACTCCGCATTAAAGTACGAGTAACATTGTTTTCCCAAAGGTTGCCATGAAAGTGAAAATCTGGTGTTCACCGCTCCAAAAAGTCTTGGAACAAGTGTCTACAAAGTAAGCTGCCTGCCACTAACTTACATCCACAACTGGATTATCATGGATTATCAATATTCATTCCACATCAACGTCCAGATCTCGCCTCAATCGGGTCACCAAGAGATCCAAATGGACGCTGACCAGTTCGACCACTCCGAGCGGGTCTTGTCAGCAAAACGTCCATGGAATCCTCTTCCATGGCCATGGAACTCTCAGGTGTTTGGGGATTGACAGATAGCCTAGTTCAAGCCTACACAGCCAATATCAATCAATATATGCCTATATACTGTTTGTGGCACTCTTTGAATCCAATTAGGTTGTTCACCAGGATATCTTACTGCTCTCTCCCACTCCATGCGGTCTTTTGGGCCTGTTCTTATTAATTCTCGCACTCGCATCGTGGTTTATTTGCAGCTGTCTGTCATGCAACTTTAACGGCTTGTGATTTATTGTTCATCTTGAGCCCATGCAGCTGCAGGTAGAGAACTACTCCACTCAACACAAGCAACCATATGTGGTCACTTCTCAGGTTCATAGAAGTTCAAACACCACTAAAGACTTGGCAGCAAAATTAAACTTCACGAGGGGTGCTGTGTATTCTCCTCGTTGGTGCAAAGGCAGCAGCTTTTGGCCTCAGCCACACAACTTAAAAAATGGTTCCTCGACCACGCCAACTCGCAGCTTTCAAAGGAAGGTGTAAGCTCCGAACGGACAAAAAATGCCATGATAAAGGGAAACACATCAGTTCATATGCAACATTATGCAACACAGTAAGCTAAATCACGTCTCATGACATTGCAAGCTCATGGCACTCCAATCTTCCAACCCAAAGGAAACTGTCAAGGAAAACAAAAGCCTTGCTGTCTGAAATTCCAAGGCTATGAGCCACTCGGCAGCACGGCCCTCTTCATGGTGCAGCGGCGGCGTTCAGAGTGTTGCTTCGAGTGTCTGGATGGGACAGCTTTGCACTCACGCCTGCACAACTTGATCATCAGCCCATCCATAGATCTTATGTCCCTTAGTGGCGTTCAATGTAGCTCTCTCAGGTATCAGGTGGCATTTCCTTGTACATCTACCAGTAGATGTCTTTGTCCAACCTTGATTTTGCGACTTTCCTGCACTCCAAGATTTTTTAAGGAAGGCACGGCGTGTAGCGCTTGCGAACAAGGCCCAACTGAGTTTCCATGGGCAAACTCCTGCCAATTTGACAAAAACACAAAAAAGGGATGAGCACAGGTTGAGCCAAAACCATCCAACACTGCTGGAAACACCTGGAAGCCTGGTGGAAACCTGGCAGCAACATATAGCAACATATGTCAACCAGCCTCAACTCCGAGGCTGCTCTCGAGGCCAGGTTGTGTATCCTTGGGCAAGCGTCATTCCCTGACCTGTCCTAAGGTGGCAAGATGTCTAAGAGATGTCTAAGTTGCAAACCGTATGAAGTCTTCAACCTGGCTGCTTGAGGTACCAGTGTTGATGCGTTTTGCCAAACGTTAGTCCTGACTACTGAGCCAGTGCAGGAGGTCAAATGATGAAAAGTAATCTCTTCTCTTCCCTCCAAATAGTCATTACATACCCAAAATACCCCGCGCAAACCCTGGTTGTGCATTGGATCTATTCCATCAGGGGTCCCTACTGGGGGTATTTCTGAATAGCCAAATGGGATTACTTTAGCTCTTGAAGACAAAATCCTGTGAGCGGTCGCCGTACCTCGGCTGAAGGCTGCATGGGCTGCCAGGCCTTAGAAATAGAATCAAGAGTACAGATTGATGAAGACTGATGCGGTACACCATGTCTCTTTTGTCTCTATGGAATGCTATGGAATGCTACGGATCCTGCAGGATTGGCGTTTCGGTTGGCATGTGGTGCCGGCGGATCCTGACAGAGCCACGCCGGGTCCGATTTGTTCATTGGCTTCAAGTCGACTGGGATATCTGGGATGGCCGACCAATGGCCGGGTGCTGCTGGCACTACCTCCGCAAACCCCCATGGGTGCCGCCTCAGGTGCCAATTAAAGAACTTTCTGGATCGGGTTTTCAGATGCGAGAAGTACGGACAGGTCATGGGAAAATCATCAAAAATCAGCAAATCCGGCATCGATTTGTTCTTGGGCGGCCTTGGAGAAACACTCAGGCTCTCTGCAGATTTCACATCATCTACTCACTGGCTGATTCATTTGCAGCTGTGCAACTGCCAAGGAAGGCAGACTGTGCACTCGCTCAAAGCTAACTATACTGATGCTATGGTAGCTGACAAAAAGGTTGTGGCATTGTTTCTTGTCTTCTATCTGCAGGGTTGTCAGCACCAGCAGACTTGCATTTCCATGGGATGAAAAGTCGGGATTCACTCTTCATCGATTTCTCTTTGGCAGCGTAGGGACCTTTCAGACCCAATGAAGAAGCTGCTGAATGATTCAGTGTATCAAATTGTATCCTCTCTACAAACGAATAGTCAGCAGCACGATGATCTAAATGAGATACATCAAAGGACAGTCCTGACCTGGGGATAGTGTGGCGGCAGAAGTTTGATGGTCCTTGCCAACGGAGAACCTTCTGACCTCAGAAGCTCTCTCCATTCTGGACCCATTGTCAGTTCCCTTTGTCAAGACATCGAGCAAAGGCCGCAACCCAAGAACCGCGGAAGATGGGAAGCTAGCCTAAAAAAGCCGGGAAAGTGTTGTAATTGTCTGGCTTTGTCTGAAAATAGGGGATTCCCCCCCCAAGTGGCACTACTGTATTTAATGGGGAAATAATGATGAATCATGATCAAGCACTGGATTTGGGGGTCTATTTTCAGACAAGCCCATTTGAAACGCCGCAACCAAGATATGTTTCCCGCCTCGCTCAACAATGGACTTGCTCCTGCACCTGCTGCTGCATCTGGCCTAGAGGCTTGCAAGACTGAGGAATTGGTGTGAAACCTTCGCCTGTGGCCAGATTTGGTGCACATGCCAGGCATTGCCCGGCCAATGGTGACAGTCTGTGTCTTTCATGGGATCCAGGCGAACAGTCCACATCCTGAGCCGCAATAGGTGACCTCATCACATTCGCGACATGTCTCAAAGTGAACTTCTTGGGATTCCAAATTTTCGTCCAATATGTTGGTAGACTCTCTTCAGGCTGTCCGCTCCATGAATACCTTGACTCTGACTTGACTCTCCATTATGATGCTCCTTGATCTGTGACTCCAGCAAGGTGTGATCCATACTCGGTTCAGTGTACAGCAATGTGTCCTGAAGAGCATGTGACACCATACGACACCACGCGACAAGCTAATTAGAAGTTTTCATAGTTGTTAAGTTCAATGATTCTTGTATGTATCCACAAAGCCTTGGAGTAGGGTCCTCTTCCTCTTCCTCATCAGCAGTAGATCCCCGAACTTCCACTGCCTCAAAAGAAACTCCCGACAGCTTCGGGACTTCGGGGTTGTGTTGAAGATTCACCCTACAACCAACATAAGTCTCTACAAACGTCAATGTTCATCATCAATGATGCGTTTCTGAGGGCTGGGCGGCCGAAGAAGATTCTGCCAAGGTTTGAGCACTCCTGTGGAAGGCGTTGCCAACGTTTAGAAAAATTCAATCAAGAAGGTGGTTGTCACATGTAGTGGTTATTACTGGTAGCAGCATCACTCAGATATTCGCGCTCGCTGTCATCACTGACATCGTCATCGTCATCACTGTCACTATCAGTATCATCAGGCTAGTAACGAGACAAAAAGCATAATCATAATCATATCTTACAAAAATAGAATAGTAATGTCAGGAATCATCGTCAGCAGCACCATGTGGTGGTATATGCTAACAACTCTACCAGTGACACTCGTGTAATCAATCTGGTCAAGCCAAGGTTCTTTCCAAGGCTCGTCTCACTTTGCCCCTGGGCGTGGCTGGACGTTGGGACAAGATCTGATGGGTCACAACTTGCCCGCCTCCCGGCGACGAAGCAACTGAATGAGCTTCTCCTTTCATTCTTCAAGTGATTCGCTATGATTCGCTATCTCCATCCAAACCCCATTGCAGTAGAAAAGACATGAAAAGACTCAATATACATATAAAATTCATATAAAATTCATACAAAAAATCATATAAAATTCATATAAAATTCATATAAAATTCATATAAACATGTCCAGACATGATTAGCGCACTCTCAAACTACAAGATCTACAAGCATGCAGCTGCACATGCTGCACGCCGTTTTTTCGTGTCGTGATCTCCTCCAGGCGCTGCATGTCTGCCTTGTGGGACTCCCGCATGTGTTGCAACTGCTGCTGATGCTCTCGCTCACGAGCCTGTGAAAAAATCCCGATGCTGCTGAAGAATGCGGAAAAATGCTGAAATGGCTATGGGTCAATACCTATTAATACCATTTTTAGGGGGATGAACATCCATTTACCAGCTATTTTGATGTTCACCAGGGGTACAAGGTTTTGACACACTGCCAAATGTGTTCTACGCATCTGCCTGCTGGAAATCCTGCATGAGTGTTAGCTGCTTTTGATGACATCGTTCCCGCTCCTCACGTCAACGCCAAAGTGCAAATCATGAGTTTGATAAGCTTGATAGTCTTATCATATTCTTATCGAATACCCTTTGGATCCCTTTTGGCAACCTAACATGGCAGCGGGGGAATCCTCCATTTATAATCTATCTACATCTATGCATGGTGGATGCATCTTTTGGATCAATCTGCATCAAGGATTGCAGAAGCACATTCATATCATGAATATATATATATATAGTAATATACTCATGAATATCATCAAATATTTGTCAAATATATTCAAATATTATTCTCTCGTCTTGTCATGTCTTGTCCATAAACATGTGCACGTCCTCTAAAAGGTTCATCATCTCAGCACGCACTCGATCCTTGGCTGTCCACTGATCCACTCAGCCCCCCAGAACTTCAATGGATCCAAGTCACAAGGCTCGCCATGTGGTTCACATCTGGTGGAGCTGCCACCTTAGGCATGGGCCCTACACTGTCTACACCTTAGAGTAAGTCTCACAGCAATCCATAGAGCTACAGTAAGGGTCGCAATAAGAACCTGTAAGGTAAGCATAGGTAAGCAAGCCATCAAGCCATCACCTTCCGAATTTGTTGCTGAGTTTTATCAAGTCTGCTGCCTTCACTGGAGCTGGAAAGAACCTGGCATCGAAGGCTTCGGAGGACTGCAATACCGATAGTTCCAATAGTTGAGCTGAAGCTGCTCACTCTGATTGTTCGATGAGCCTCAGCGCCTCGGATTTCCTGGCAACCGACTGTTGCAGCTCTGCATGATCTGCATGTTACAGGGGTTTGACAAAGTCATGCCTAAGTCACTCCTTTCGCTTTCCCCGCTTGTGAACGCAACATCAAGAAGTCATGCCTAAGTCATGCCTTTGGGCCTTCCCCCATTCAGAACGCAAGCGTCAAAATAACCCTTTCCAAATCAGAACCTTTCACTTTCACCCTTTTTTCTCTTCCCTGTGCTTGCGATTCACTGTTTCTTCTTTGCCCACTTTCTTCCCCAAACAGGTTTATCTGCATGGGGTTCTCAATAAGAATTCTGTAAATAGATACTGGGTAGCTATGGCCCTCTCACACAGAAAGAGGCCAATGCAGTTTGTAAGTTCTTACTCCTTTGAGAAGGTTGCAGTCCTGGGTCGCATTATTTTGCTTCTGCCTCCGGGCTTGCATTCCTGGCATGCTCGACCGGCTACGGTCTGGTTGCTCTTGGCCGCCTGGGTCTACAATGTTATACACTTGTCTCCCACTTGTCTCCACTGGTGTCCCACTTGTCTCCTACTCACCTGCATGTCGCATGATGTGCCTGATTTGCCTCAACAGCACCCACCACTTGGGTTCCTTCCTGACTTCCTTCCTTCCTTCCTTGCTTCCTTGCTTCCTTGTGGTAGTAGTTCAGAAGCAATCCAGCAGCAGTTTGGCAGTAGCCAGCGGCAGCAACTGAGCAACAGCCAGCAATTGAGCAGCAGTTTAGCAGTAGTTGCTAAATACAGTTGAACGTACAGAAGTCACTGATAAGAAAGCAGCTGCAACAAAAAAAGTTTCCCCCCAACTGAACGCAACAAAAACTACATATACGCAAGGAAAAAAAAGAAACACACCTAAAAACATGGTTGCGCTGTGATCACCAGAGTTTGCTTGCGTTTTCCAAAAAGGCACGACTTCCAGGGAAAGCTTCGACGCAACTAAATCTAGAGATTTCTTAAAAAAAGGAACGACTTTGTCGATTGCCTGTACAAAACAAAACTGTCAATTCCAAGCCTTACAGTCCGCTGTGGCATCTGTGGTGAGAACAGCGGACTCCCGGTTTGTCGGGTCAGACCTGGAAAATTGATGAAAATTGGAACCAGTTCATCCTCAAATCATCAGCCAGCAATGCAAACATGAAATGATGTAGTTTAAAATGCCAACTGGGTTCAGTGGCGCGAGGTCATCAAGGGCGAGGTCCAAGTTGATGTCGAACTTCTTGTTCCATTCGATAGGCCTCCCCAGTTCTGATTTTCAAATGCCTAGGAAACTGCAATGACATGCAATGACTCTATATTCATCTATATTCAAGAAATGTGCACATTTCAAACTTTAGTGTATCTCAGCCGGGCGCAAGTGCTTAGCGTCTCCCCGGACTTCCTGAGTACTCTGGCTGAATGCTGAAGTGATGCTGAAAACTGGATTCGAAAGATTTTGAAAGCATCATTACAAGTGGATTAAAAGATGATCAAAGTATGCAACCTCAGCTTCTGCGAAACTGTGATAGCTGAATGGAAGCCCAGCCTTGCTGAGATCGAGGAGAAGGCCACCGATTGGCAGGTTTCCTGGATGCGGGACACGCGAAGGGACCAGGGAGGTAGGAACGCCATCCGCGTCCATTGCTGCGGTTGAACCACAGATGGAGAAATCTATGCAGTATTTTGCACGCGAAAGTAAAGGCGACCTGGGCCTTGTCGCGTTCTCTGCAACACATGCTTGCATTGTACTGCTTTCTGTTGGCACAAACTTGTTGTCTTGAAAGCGTCTGCCCCGTAGCAAACAATTGTTGTCAATCATCAACTTCTGCCCGCTGTCCTGCTCTGCGAGAGAAACCTTTGACCTCACAACACTTGGACTTGAACCCACAACTGTGTTTCGCATCGACCAGAATTCTCCTGTCCCTTGGTCCTTCCAAAAATCAATACGTTTCAAGGCCCTGACCCTTCTGTTTTGATAGGTCGATTCTCGACCTGAACCAGAGATGGGTGGATGCAGGGACGCATTTGGAAAAGTGTATTTCGATGCATTTCGAGAATATGAGACCAGGACGTCATCTTTCGCACTGGTCTGCCAGGGCCTAGCTGTGCATTTTTGATTTCTGCTGCAAGACCACGCAGCACAGCATGGCATCGCCGTATTGTCAAACCGAATGAATTTGATTTCTAAGATGGTCACATGGAATGTCGACGAGCCTGGCCAGTGCTTTATTGCTTGCACACCTCTTCTGGGTGTGCGTAAAGTATAAATTCAAAATTCCTAAAAGAAACAATAATTCGAGATTTCATCGCTTCCGTGGAGAACATACAGACCTGCTTCAACACTCCCAACAAATTTGTAAAACCCTCCCTGCCTTAAACTGGTCCGACGTAGGAAGCACCTTTCACGCACTGGATTCGTCTCACTCACAGCATCCCCATGTTCGTCCTTTGCCAAGCTTCTCAAATGAAAAGCATCAAACATCATCAAACATCATCAAACATATACTCCCCGTCATTTCATATCAAAGCTCTGAGATCCTCACTTGTGTTTGTACAGCTGCAACGGCGGGAACGGCCGCAACCGCCGGAACCGCTGGAACAGCCGCAACGGCTGGAGCCACCGGAACAGCGGGACACCTTGGTCAGAGGACCCATGAGGGACTCAGAAATCATCAGTGTGACCAAGTTCTGGACAGCCTCCATGATGTGACAGGTGGTGACGGCCTGCGCAACGAATTCAAACACGCGAGCTTGCAGATCTCATGGAATTGCAGGCCTGGAACAAACTGGCATGGCTACAGCTGGGCAAAAAGCTGGAACGGGCCTTGGTGTTCAGTTTCCAGGTCATGTTTTAGGATGTTTTAGGAAAAATTTAAGAGATTTTTGAATCATTCAATGGTGATTCAGTGGTGCACACCACATCGAGGTGCAGTGTCTCAGATCGAGGGCAGGACGCAAGAGATCCTCTTGGAGTCCTTGGGGGGGTACCAAAGGCAAGCCTCAGCAACGTTTGGTGCCGACATTATGCCGACTCACAGATCAAATGAATCAATATCTATCGTTCCCATCATTTCCTTGGAGCCTTACACCGGCACGGGCACCACATTTGTCCGCCTGGCTAAAAAAGAGTTAGGAAAGGCCCGGTAAGGCAAGTTGAAAGCGAAAAGACGCATGAGATCCAGATTTGAGGTTGTGGCCAAACAGATCTACCTGGGAACAACTCCAATAGGTTATAGCAACATACAGCTAACCCTGAACATCTTTGAATAACAACAGTATTGTTATCAACAATTCTCAACACTAGGCCCGACACTGCCCGGGCTCACAGACCGGCATCCTGAAGGCCTGACTTTACAAATGGATGGCTTGGCGGCAACAGTCTTGGGTCACACATGGTCACACTCAGCGCCCAGCCGCACATATCGTACGGTCTGCCTCTCTATCCGGGTAACCTGGCAACGCTGATCCCGCGGCTCCAAGAAAAGAACGTGGCATTTCTTGCTCTGTTTCTGGATACACGCCTTGGAAGGCACGGCATAGCTTGCGCTTGGCATCAAGCCTGGAGAAGCATTCCACAAAAAGTCTGGCACACATGCAATCACTTGATCCGCACCTCACCGCGCTTGGCTAGCGCAAGAAGCTCACCATGATAAACGCAAAACTTTAGGTCTGTGAACTGTGAACTTGGGGGGCTGGATGCTACATCAAGCTGTGACACAGTTGCTTCAAACAAGATCCTGCGTGAATGGTCCAAAGTAGAAAGTTTCCAGCTGGTTGGTTCCACTGATATGCTATGTTCCCTCTGTCTGACTTACTGTGGAAGCAAGTTCCTATGTTCTGTATGTTCTGACATGAGCTGAGCACAACAGAATGGAGCAATCCGGCACTCTTGGAATTGCAAAGGGTGGCTCAGCAGCAGCTCCAAACTGTTGTGTTTCCCCGCGCTCAATCTATGTTGAACATTGTTGAACTGGATACCATAATCAAACATGTTCCAAACACCGTCTGACCATGTCCTTGTCCCTCCCTGGGCTTTGTGCTGATTTGTTGCGATGATACCTGGAGAAAGATGCAGATTGCGAAAGGGAAAACCACGATGAAAATCCAAAGGCTTTCCAGTCTCAAGGATTGGTTTTGGATTACTGACCTTACAAACGGATTGCAACCTGCCTCATCTATTTCTGGGTATTCTGTTCAGATTCACCCCAGACCCAAACTGGTGACTGAAGCCGGGACTCGCAGTGAAGCCGACTGTTGTGAAGGTACACCTTGCTGAGACACTGGTGTCACTTGAAAAGAGAATATCTAGTGCAGTCAACCCATTTCAACTGTGTGCAAACGCACTCACTGAAACCGATCTAAGCAAGTTTCAAGCGTCTTTCATATCTGGGGAAGGCTGTTGCGGACGACAACTTCATACATGAACAATTGAACAATAACGACATGAGACCGCAAAATGTGTTCATACGATTTGGACGAGCTTGGTGGAACAAAAGCAAGAGAATCACCCTATGTTGCTGACAAAGCTCATGATGGAGAATGACAAAAGCTTAAACTATGAGAATGCAGGGTCCCCCTCAACCATCTGCTAAAATTATCTAAAATTGCCATGGCCAAGAATGCCATGGCCCAAGCGAGCTCGTAAGATCGATTTTACCATGCTTGCAAAGTCTGCAACTCCGATCGTTAATTACGGGTGCAAAGCACTACATTTAGAGCGATGGCAAGCGGCTGCAAAGCCATTGGTTCGTTCCTATGCCACCAACGATTTTGTGTGAAGACATATCATGCCACCATGCAAAGAGAATCTCTCCTACCATCGCTTGAAGATGAATTAGCTGCACACAGCATGCATGAGCTGGCTGGACAAGCTGCAAATATGCATTGGCTGTTGGTGAGATGCTTCCGCCACCAATCCATACAAATCCAAGGTATTCTTCAGGAAAAAAATGAATCAACAGAGATCGCTCTACGATGAAAGCCCGCTGCTGTCACAGGATGCCGCCATAGGATTGTTGCAATCGCTTGGCATTCTCTCCTTGGCACTTGCTGAACATTGGCGAGCTGTTCCAGTCCTGTCTACTTGGCAAAAGCATCGAAAAACTTGTCATGAGGGGTCTTGATGCAGCTACGCTTCCTGTGCAGTTCAGAGCAATCCAAGGATGAGCCAACACTTCTTCCAACGTCATTCGTTCGCTCGGATTCCTTACATGAACAGGGCACAACCTCACTCTCATGACTCATGACTGGCTGAAACTGGCTGAAACTGGCTGAAACTGGCTGAAACTGTCATTCCGACTATCATGCGGATCATGGGGGTCCAATCTGCTGAGTCTCTTTGCAAGCAATCTGGCAATGAGGTCTTTCGCCTCCTGCACAGAGATTCCGAAAGTATTTGTTGACGCAGAACAAAACTAATTATTTCAAGCTTGAAATCGCGCACAAGCAGACCCTCGTCATGGTGGGAGGAAACTGCGGATTGCCCATCTTGATCTTGCGATAAGTGCCCTTCTCGCTTTGGTCCTCTGACAGAAGCCGTGATTTGAGGACACCGCCAATTCCATTTGACAAAGCTGCAGCCCACGTGGTAAGTTTTGAATAGACCCTGTCTAAGTTGTCATGGAAGCACCTGTCTCCAGAGCTCTGGGATTGAATTGTGATGCAATCTACTTTGTGTTGAGCACTGTGTGTGTGTGTCTCTATGTGTGCGCGCTATCCGCCTCAAATGGAGGCTTCCCAACCATGAACTCATAGAGCAGGACGCCAAGTCCCCAAATATCCACCCGGCCTCAAAGATACAAACACATTCTCATGTTGCCCGACTTCTTGTGCAAATGCACACTACTCTGCGGGAAGCTATCCAGTCAAGTGGGCCAAGCAAATAAGAGATGAAAAGACTTATATATATTTATATACTATTAAAATCTCTTAAATCTATTATATAAATTATAAGTGTGTGTAATTAAGATTGAGATTATCTTGAAATGTTCGATGTAATAATATGTAATAATATGTAATATTGCAACCTGGTCACTGTGGTACTTCTTGTTGACCACCATCTCTGGCGGGAGATAGTCCAAGGTTCCACAGAATGTGTCACGTCGAGAGGAAGGCGCATGCACTGCCCAGCCAAAGTCCGCAATTTTCAACGTGTCTTTCAAGCCGATCAGGATGTTCTCAGGCTTGATGTCTCTGTGAATGATGTGTTTCGAATGACAGTACTGGATAGCCTCACAAGAGGCACGGGTTTGCTTCCTTTGCACAAAAGTGAAAGCAAGCAAAGGTCGCTCTTAGAACAGCTAGTGCCTCCACCATCTGCTTGAAGTACCATGCAGATCTTGCCTGTCGCATGAGTGACAAGGGTTCTGAGAAACTCGGAGGCATCTCACACTGACAAGGCACCTCGGAGAAGGTACCGCGGCTTTGCAACAATCCATAGAGCTCCCCACCAGGTGCCATTTCGAGGCAAAGGTAGACTCTCTTCCTCGGAAGCAAGGTGGCATAGGAGAGTACCGCTGATCAAGCAGCTCTGCTACCAGGAAACTGATCATGGAAGAAGGTGTAGAGTCGCAAGATGTTCACATGCCGACAGTGCGATTGAATCTCGATCTCTCTCCTTCAAGTCTGCAGAATCCGAAGGAACATTGAAAAATGAAACTGGGTTTGATTCATTGAAATCTTGTCACAAGTTCCCAGAACTGCACTTATCATACAATCTTATACAATTCGAAAAGCAGTTCACACCTGAGCTGATGCTCAACTCGATGCTTGATGAGCTGGCGTTTGTCCAGGACTTTGAGGGCGAAAATGAAGCCTGCGCAACACCATATCTCTGAGATCTCTGAGTATCTCAGTTTCCATCGGCTGCAAACCAATGAAAACGTCTTGCATGGAAATGTTAAGTTTGAGTCCCCTCTAGTCACCTGTTCGTCGACAACGAGCCACATAAACTGCGCCGAACTTCCCGGCACCCAGGCGCTTGCCAACGTCGATATCCTTTCAGGGCCATGCGAAGGCAAAAGATGTGAGGATATCTTCTGCCCAGATTTATTTTATGAAATGATGCAAAAAAAAATATTGGAGCATAGGGGATGGGACAATGTAGAAACCCATAACAACCATTACCAACCATACTTCATGATTCATTCATGATGCTTCATGCTGTTTTTGAACCCTCCGGGTCATTCAGCGAAAACCAAGGGATCTCAGTGCCCAAGGCCATGTCCTGGCGAAACACATTGAAGATTAATGGATTTATGGATTTATGGATGTCAATTGATGTCAATTGATGTCAATTGATGTCAATTGATGTCAATTGATGTCAATGCAATGCAGATTCTGTCGATTGAATGCAGCCTGCCTCAGGTGGTGACGGCTGCAGATTTCGTGGGCTGACGATTTCAAAGCCCTTCTCTCCTGCAGAGATCACTTGTGATATACGTGATGCAACCGTGATGTACGGCCCTTCCCTTGGTCTTTGTGAAACATACTTCATCAGTTGCATCCACGTGCTGCCAAGACACCTTTCGGTCTCTCGCCCTAAGATCTCACAACCCAGATGACTCTCCCAAATGGGCCAATAAAACACAGCTCGTTTCAAAAATCCTTCGGTTGAAGGTCCCAGAGATGGAGCTATCCTGCCATCTTCTTTTCTGGTTCAAAACTGGCTGGGAGTTCGAGTCCAAAACAAGGTGCTGGTTCTACTGCAGGAAAGTGTCACTCCTTCTCTTTTTAACGGGAGGCGTGTTCTCTTTGCCACCATCCTTAAGTTTCGGAAGTATCCAACAGTGTCCATTGCAATACATAAATGCACTGGTCTCTTCGTGGTTCATGCGACTGCAAATTTGGTCAGACCATGGCCTTCTGCACCTCCATGTTCTCAGACATGCTCTGCGGCCGCAGCCTTCCGATCCAAGAAAATGTCAAGACACAGGCAATCGTCATGTGAACAAAACTTTGTCATGGCAGCAATGGTCGACAACAAGGTATGTGTCTTGTCAGTTCGGCCTGTGGACTTTGTCTGACGGAGCCGCAGGCAAGACAGAAGGCACTGAAGGGAAACGGTTCTACTATTTGAGCACTTTTGGCAACGGTCAAAGTGCTGGAAGGAGGCAGTGTATGCCTGAACATGTTCCTTGTCTTTGCTTTCATTCCATAGTCCAGACAGTCTTGAGGTCAAGGCTTGGAGTCATTGAATTGCACCCACACATCAGATATGCACTCTGACTGCAACCGAGGAAGGGGCCGTGCCATTTTGGGAGGCTTTAAAAGCTGATGCAGCCCCCTCAGAATTCCAGAACCTGATGACAGGCAAATCAGGCAAGAGGACCAAATCTGTTTTCAACAGCAGGGGCTTCTCTTTATACTCAAGGCCTTTCACTGTATCTGAGTGAGCTAACCTGACAAAGCCTGGCTCATGTCTACGCAAGTTTCCTGGAGGAGGAATGAAGACATAGTCTACCTGGTGGAGAATTTGACAGGCCAGGCAGAATCCACAAACAACACGCCAGATACATGCCAGACTCATCCTGAAATCTTGCAAAGTTCGCACATGGTCACGTCGATACCAACATCCAAACATTCCTTCGTCACTGGCCTTGCCAAAATGGCCAAAGAGTTCCTTGCAGCTCAGACAATTGTAATGCCAGGCCAAACTTAGCAAAGACAGCCGAAGTGCTACCATTGCTATCATGCCGAATGACATCCAGCAACAATAGGAGCCGCTTGCATTGGTTTGCCCAAGTTCCCGCTGGCAAATTGTCAACCTCTTGTCTTTTGTTGTGACTTTTCAAATCTATATATTTATTCATATTCATATCATATATTATAATAATAATAACAATATCTATATCTATATATATATATTGTATAGTCGTTTGTCGTTTCCGACTTGGTGAATTTGAAACGGCTTGGCAGCGGCCTCAACATCTACAAGTCGGCATTGGTCTGGCAAGCCATGAACCACGTCCAGTGAGCGGTCACACATTGGAGATCCTGACGGGAATGACAAAATCCTTGACGGAATGGTTCAACAGAGAAGCAATTTGAAAAAGGCATCAGGAACAGGCCATCTCCTTTGCCTTAACCGTTAACATCGTTAACCGTTAATCTTGTTCCGTGGCAGACTTTTCTGTTTGACAATATATAGAACACAACAGTGGCCCAGCCGGCCTGTGTGCTAGCCGCAATCTGGTACGCATCGCAAAATGTATATAGGAATTATAGGAATGGTTTGCAGCTTTTCAAGAGTGATCCAGCCCTTTGATATGCAATCACAAAGTGGGCAGCAACATGAAGAAGTTCTCAACAAGGCTGATCCTAAGAAGCGATGCGACTGGCTAGGTCCACCAGTGTCTAGGAAAAAAACATGCAGGACCATATTCATGCATCTCAAAGTCTGAAGTTGGAGCTTGGAAATTCTGGCCATTCGTTCATAGGTGTCTGAGCCAAAATTCTCATATTGGCTGAGTGTGGAAGGTTCTTGCAAAAAGAAGCCACGATATACAGTAATCATCAGGTCACGAAAGGAAGAAAGGGAAAGGGTCTCAACAATTTACACAAGAAATAAAAGATCTGGTGGCTCTTTTATGTCACCCATGGCACCGGCCGATCTCGAACCCAAAGATTCAATGCAACCTTCTGGTGCTCTTGCTGTTCACTCTCAGGCTTCACCTGCAGCAAGCAGGAGTGTTTCACAGTGGTTTCCCAACTTCCACGCGTCTAGTCTGAAACCTTATGATATGTTCAAAATGTTCAAAAAAATGTTTCTTCAATGATCCAAATGCAAACGAGAAACGATCAGAGGCTCAGCGGCGTGCTCCGTCTCGATGAGAGGCATCCCATGCATAGACACATTTGGCCAAGCACAAGCAGCTCCCCGCACAGGCACAATCCGCAGCCCTTGTGGCTGTTCCCTTGTGAGATGCGGAAAGTGAGTGCAGCCACCTACACAGCCTTTTGGAATGTCAGTGAGATATGCTAAAACGGTGGCCACGCGCTGGCCCGCAATGAACAAAGAGGCATCGGTGCCATGGCCCCAGTCGACGTGTGGCTTGTACAGCCTCACTTTCAACTTTCGAAAAAATGCGTTGATGCCGGTCATTCAATGGAGCTGTATAAATCTTGTGTTTGAGAAAGAAGCAACGGCTGAGACTGCGACTGTCCTGGACTATAGCGTACCTGGGCAAATGGGTCGTACACAGGCGCGTTTTTTGGTGGCATGTCCCATTCTCATCCATTCTGCTTGAAGTCTTCAAATTTCACAAACTTCCATCTTTCAGCATCTTTCAGCACGGGGCACCAGTTGAGGAGGCTCCGCATGTTGCGGCGCCAAGCCAAGCAACGCAGCTGCGCGAGCACGTAATTTCTGCACCAGTGGAGAGTCACACAACACCAGGCTTTCGGAGCTGCGCACCTGTCCAATAATGTTTAATAAGTTATAGTCATAGTTATTTAATATACATAAATGTATATCCGCCGACCCCGGCTGCGCAAGGGGGAGCGCGTAAGGGAAAAAGAGTTTGTGACACAGCAGTTTGTGATACAGCAGGAGCATATTAGATTTGATTGGACTATTGGAGTTCTAGTAGGACTAGCAGCATCACTTTTCTATCGGATTCAGAAGTTACGTTAGGTCATTTTTGCGGTGCAATTTCGGAGTTTTTCCGTCCTTCACTGCTATGGGGATTTGCCGCTGGGAGTGGTTCGCTTTTAGGCGTCGCAGCTAGCCACCAGCAGCAGCAGCAGCAGCAGCAGAAAAAATTCGCTAAAAAAATAATCATTTTCTATGACTTTCAGAAGTTACGTTAGGCATTTTTTCACTGCCATCGGGATTTGCTGCTGGGAGTGGTTTGCTTTTAGGCGTCGCAGCTAGCCACCAGCAGCAGCAGCAGCAGTAGGAGCGTCTTCAGCAGCAGGAGAAAAAAGTAGCTAAAATCATCATTTTCTATGGGTTTCGGAAGTTACGTTAGGCATTTTTGAGGTGCAATTTCGGAGCTTTTCCGTCCTTCACTGCCATGGGAATTTGCCGCTGGGAGTGCTTCGCTTTTTGGCGTCGCAGCTAGCTACCAGCAGCAGCAGCAGCAGGAGAAAAAAGTCGCTAAAAAAATAATCATTTTCTATGGGTTTCAGAAGTTACGTTAGGCATTCTTGCGGTGCAATTTCGAAGCTTCTCCGTCCTTCACTGCCATGGGGATTTGCCGCTGGGAGTGGTTCGCTTTTGGGCGTCGCAGCTAGCCACCAGCAGCGGCAGCAGCAGTAGGAGCCTCTTCAGCAGCAGGAGAAAAAAGTCGCTAAAAAAAAATCATTTTCTATGGGTTTCAGAAGTTACATTAGGCATTTTTGGGGTGCAATTTCGGAGCCTTTCCGTCCTTCACTGCCATGGGGATTTGCCGCTGGGAGTGGTTCGCTTTTAGGCGTCGCAGCTAGCCACCAGCAGCAGCAGCAGCAGCAGTAGCAGTAGGAGCGTCTTCAGCAGCAGGAGAAAAAAGTAGCTAAAATTATCATTTTCTATGGGTTTCAGAAGTTACATTAGGCATTTTTGAGGTGCAATTTCGGAGCCTTTCCGTCCTTCACTGCCATGGGGATTTGCCGCTGGGAGTGGTTCGTTTTTTGGCGTCGCAGCTAGCCACCAGCAGCAGCAGCAGCAGCAGCAGCTAGGAGCCTCTTCAGCAGCAGGAGAAAAAAGTAGGTAAAATCATCATTGTCTATGGGTTTCAGAAGTTACGTTAGGCATTTTTGAGGTGCAATTTCGGAGCTTTTCCGTCCTCCATGGGGATTTGACGCTGGAGTGGTTCGCTTTTAGGCGTCGCAGCTAGCCACCAGCAGCAGGAGCCTCTTCAGCAGCAGGAGAAAAAAGTAGCGATCATCATTTTCTATGGGTTTCAGAAGTTACGTTAGGTATTTTTGAGGTGCAATTTCGGAGCTTTTCCGTCCTTCACTGCCATGGGGATTTGCCGCTGGGAGTGGTTTGCTTTTAGGCGTCGCAGCTAGCCACCAGCAGCAGCAGCAGGAGAAAAAAGTCGCTAAAAAAATCATAATTTTCTATGGGTTTCAGAAGTTACGTGTGGTTCGCTTTTTGGCGTCGCAGCTAGCCACCAGCAGCAGCAGCAGAAGAAAAAGTAGCAAAAATCATCATTTTCTATGGGTTTCAGAAGTTACGTTAGGCATTTTTGAAGTGCAATTTCGGAGCCTTTCCGTCCTTCACTGCCATGGGGATTTGCCGCTGGGAGTGGTTCGTTTTTTGGCATCGCAGCTAGCCACCAGCAGCAGCAGCAGCAGCAGCAGCAGCAGTAAGAGCCTCTTCAGCAGGAGAAAAAAGTACCTATCATCACATCATTTTCTATGGGTTCAGCAGCAGCAGCAGCAGGAGAAAAAATCGCTAAAAAATCATCATTTTCTATGACTTTCAGAAGTTACGTTAGGCATTTTTTCACTGCCATCGGGATTTGCTGCTGGGAGTGGTTTGCTTTTAGGCGTCGCAGCTAGCCACCAGCAGCAGCAGCAGCAGCAGCTAGGAGCCTCTTCAGCAGCAGGAGAAAAAAGTAGGTAAAATCATCATTTTCTATGGGTTTCAGAAGTTACGTTAGGCATTTTTGAGGTGCAATTTCGGAGCTTTTCCGTCCTTCACTGCCATGGGAATTTGCCGCTGGGAGTGCTTCGCTTTTAGGCGTCGCAGCTAGCCACCAGCAGCAGCAGCAGCAGCACCAGCAGCAGCAGCAGCAGCAGTAGGAGCCTCTTCAGCAGCAGGAGAAAAAAGTAGGTAAAATCATCATTGTCTATGGGTTTCAAAAGTTACGTTAGGCATTTTTGCGGTTCAATTTCGAAGCTTTTCCGTCCTTCACTGCCATGGGGATTTGCCGCTGGGAGTGGTTCGCTTTTGCGCGTCGCAGCTAGCCACCAGCAGCAGCAGCAGCAGCAGCACCAGCAGCAGCAGTAGGAGCCTCTTCAGCAGCAGGAGAAAAAAGTAGCTAAAATCATCATTTTCTATGGGTTTCAGAAGTTACGTTAGGCATTTTTGAGCTGCAATTTCAGAGCTTTTCCGTCGCTGGGAGTGGTTCGCTTTTAGGCGTCGCAGCTAGCCACCAGCAGCAGCAGCAGCAACAGCAGCAGCAGCAGCAGTAGGAGCGTCCTCAGCAGCAGGAAAAAAAAGTAGCTAAAATCATCATTTTCTATGGGTTTCAGAAGTTACATTAGGCATTTTTGAGGTTCACTGCCATGGGGATTTACCGCTGGGAGTGGTTCGCTTTTAGGCGTCGCAGCTAGCCACAGCAGCAGCAGCAGCAGGAGAAAAAATTCGCTAAAAAAATCATCATTTTCTATGATTTTCAGAAGTTACGTTAGGCATTTTTTCACTGCCATCGGGATTTGCTGCTGGGAGTGGTTTGCTTTTAGGCGTCGCAGCTAGCCACCAGCAGCAGCAGCAGTAGGAGCGTCTTCAGCAGCAGGAGAAAAAAAATCATCATTTTCTATGGGTTTCAAAAGTTACATTAGGCATTTTTGAGGTGCAATTTCGGAGCTTTTCCGTCCTTCACTGCCATGGGGATTTGCCGCTGGGAGTGGTTCGCTTTTTGGCGTCGCAGCTAGCCACCAGCAGCAGCAGCAGCCGCAGTAGGAGGCTCTTCAGCAGCAGGAGAAAAAAGTAGCTAAAATCATCATTTTCTATGGGTTTCAGAAGTTACATTAGGCATTTTTGAGGTGCAATTTTGCTTTTCCGTCCTTCACTGCCATGGGGATTTGCCGCTGGGAGTGGTTCGCTTTTTGGCGTCGCAGCTAGCCACCAGCAGCAGCAGCAGCAGCAGCCATGGGGATTCAGCAGCAGGAGAAAAAAGTAGCTAAAATCATCATTTTCTATGGGTTTCAGAAGTTACATTAGGCATTTTTGAGGTGCAATTTCGGAGATTTTCCGTCATTCACTGCCATGGGGATTTGCCGCTGGGAGTGGTTCGCTTTTAGGCTTCGCAGCTAGCCACCAGCAGCAGCAGCAGCAGCAGTAGGTCAGTTATATCCCCGTTGTTTTAATTGATATACCGATATACCCTACAACATATCTCCAAATATCCTCATTTTATTGCTTCCCAAATATCCCCATGTTGGGTTCACAAAATCTCGCGGCTGTGCAAACTCTGAGGCTCTTGCACCGCAGCTATCTTGCAACTAAGAGATGGTCGCCAAGCACATGAGAATTAATGGCCGCAGCAGAACATTTGGCGTCAACAACGCCAGTAGCAAAAACATATCCTCACTCTTCGGCCGTTCCTGAAATATGTGTATATATATAATGATATACATATATATATATATATACATATATATATATAGCAATGGGATCTAAGATTTAAGAATCTAAGCAGTAAAGATTGAGTTGAGATGTTGACCAACAGGAATTAGTTGGTGAGCAACCCCCAATCTCTGCAAAGCCCTTCAGATGAATCTCTTTATTTCATGTGTGGATTGAAAGAAAACTCAAATACCGATACAAACAAGATACGACTGGTAAAACCATTTAAAACAAATGCTACAGAAAAAAAACGGCGTTCCTGGTCGTTGATTCCGGGGTCGGCGGCAGGGGCGGCAGCCCTTAAATTCGGCTCCGCCGGCTCCCCACGAGTGGCTTGCCCTACGAGCGTCCCAGAGCGACTAGAGCTCTAAGGTGAGGCGCGCCCCAAACCGCCGACCCTCCGACGCCGGGCCCCGAAAAGCACCAAAAATCCTTCAGGAGGGTGGGGGAGAGCTTTTTGGCCGGAATCCGGGTCGCTCATAAGCGTCTCCAAGAGCAAAAGGCCCCCCCCCCGTTTGGAGGGTACCTAAAATCGGAAAAAAGTGCCGTTTTGACACATTTTTCGGACGATTTTTCGCTTTTCGAAAGTCACAAAATGCTGTAAATTACAGCATTTTTGCGTTTTGACGTCTTTCGCGGGAGCAATGAAAAAAAGCAGAAAATGCTGTAAATACCAATACTTTTTAGACCGGAGATGCACAAAACACCGCAAATACCAGTGTTTTTGAAAGCCAAGCAAAAAAACACTGTAAATTACAGCATTTTTGGCAAGTTGATCGCAAAAAATGCTGGTATTTACACTGTTTTTGCAATTTCAAGAAAACGTGGAAGGCACGAAACACTGTAAATAGCGGTGTTTTGGCCACTTTTGGACGCCGAAACGCTGGTATTTACGCAGTTTTTTGCCCGTGGCGGCGCCAAACCCCTGTAAATTACAGCATTTTCTTCCCTTTCTGAACCGATTTTTTGCCTTGATGAACGCAAAAAACGCTGGTATTTACGCGTTTTTCAAAAAATCGAAGATCGTGACGTGAACGAAACCCTGCAAATAACAGTGTTTTAGCCACTTTCGGGGACTAAAACTGTGGTATTTACGCGGGTTCTTGCCATCTGACAGCGCAAAATGCTGTAAATTACAACACTTGGTACGCTGTTTATGTTCAATTTTTTAACCCGCGATGCTTTCACCTGTTCTTTGCATTCTTCCACAAGAAACAATGTTGCAGATTGAAACTGGACGACAGCGTGACCCGAAAGAAAGCTGGATGGAGGAGTCG